GCTTGTTGGGTGGATAACCGGGACTCAATCCCACAAGCCGACTCCATCCTGTAACCAAGAACCTGCTGCTTTCGGGAGTCACCAGCCTTTCGCCCCAGCTCAGACCTGTGGAAAGCTAACAAGAAACTCCCACAGGGCAAGAAAGAGATTCTCCTGGAGGAGGAGACCGTGATTCTTCCCCTGGGGCTTCCTGGAACCAGGGCACAGCCCACAGCTTTCTGGTTGGCCCAGCCCTGTGTGCCTGCCCTTCAGTGATGGGTGGGGGCTTGTTTAAGGCCGTGGACTCACAACTTCCTCAGATTCCCACGTGACACACTAGTGAAGGTGGGGGCTAGCAGGGCACGAAGGCTCAATACCAGCAATCCCAGCATTTGAGAAGTCAAGATAGGAACATCAGTAAGATCTAGATCAGCTCAGATTGCAGTGAGACTGTCAAGGAAGGAAGGAAGCTGGGTCTGGGGGTGTACACCTTTAACCCTAGCACCCAGGAGGCAGAGAGAACTGGATCTTCTTGTGAGTTCCTGACCAGCCTGGCCTACATAGCAGTTTTAGGCAAGCCAGGAATACATACAGTGAGACCCTGTCAGAGAGAGAGGAGAGAGAGAGGAGTTGAGCATGTAATTCAGTCTGTAGAGCTCTTTCTTATCCTGCATGAAGCCCTGAGGTTGATTCTAACACACATAAAACAAAGATAGTGGCAGGAGTGTAGCAGCAGAATCAAATTTCAAGGTCATCCTCTACAGCCTAAAGAGTTGGAAGTCAGCCTGAGCGAATTTGTCTCAAAAAGCAAAAAGGAAATAAAATTCAATGATAGAAGGGGATAGCCCCTCATAAAGAAAATTTTCTACCTCCAAATATCTGAGGACCCCAGCTGGAAAGCCGCTAAGACAATACCACCGCCAACCCAAGCAAGCCCTGCTGGGACCGGCACAGCCAATAAAATATGGGGTGACTTGCCATGTCCCATTCCCAATGCTTTGAAATGGCAGTGGCTGACTACACGGTGTCCAAAACCAAACCAAACTGGCTGACTTTAGAACTCCAGGATAAAGGGATGGACCCTCTTATCAAGAGAGGTCTTCAGAAGCCCTGGGGTGGGGGTAGGGTCTTGGCTTTGGTGTCTTGTTTCGGGTAGCAGAGCTTACTCTAACTATGACTTTTTAAAACTCTGGTCTGTGTTGTTCTGTTTTTCCCCAGAAAACAGCTGAATGAGTTGTCGACTCCTCAAAAAGAAAAGCTCAGTTCTGAAAATCATGTTATCTGTTCATTCCTGCCCTTGGGAGGTAGGAACAGGAAGCCCAGGAGTCTGAGGCAATCCTCCCTTACAGGGCTAGCCTGGGCTACATAAGACCCTTGCTTCCATGGGGGATGGAGGTAATCTTCCTACTGTCTCCTGTCTAGAGCTGAGGTCCACCCTTCCTCAGACAAGGAGGGTGTATGAGCCTATTTATTATAGGAGTGGAGTTAAATGTCACCTTTCTGGGTAGTGAGACAGTTTGACCATGGCTAAATTAACTCTGCTTCTCACCCCCTAAGAAACTAACCTTCTGTTTCTCCATAGACAGGACACAAGGCCTTGACACAGGAAACACAATCACTCCCCGTCTCCGCTCCCACCCAGCAGCCTCAGGTGAAGGAATAGCTGAGAGCCGCACTTCCTCAAAGGTTCACACACCCTGGTTCCCCTCACAGACTCCTCCACCAGTGCCCTTCCCCCAATTCCCACACTAGCTCTAAGCACTCTATCCATGACCAGAAACCGTGATGATCAACTGGAGCAGCCCAGATTCTCCCTGCCTGAGGAAGGATTCCAACTGAAACCCATCAGCCTTACTGGAGAGTGTAGCTAAACCAACGCCACCAAGTACAGTGATGTAGGCACGGAGCATGAGGAAGACAGCAGGAAAGAGGAGGCATGCATGCAGACAGGAGAGGTACAGAGAGAAAAGCCAGACTTCATTCGTGATCAGGGCCCCGAGAGCGCAAGGGCAGAAAGACCTAGTGAGAGCGGGTGGCTTACAACTTTGGGAAGTGAAACTGGGATGAGGGGTGGTCGGTAGGGCTGGAGAAGGCTCCTCCTGAAATACGCCAGTCTAGCTCCAAGACTAGAATCTGAAAAACTTACTGTGTCTGGAAGAAACCCGCAGACCAACTGACAGGGTTGTAGCTGTCAGAAGGTAAAAAGGAATCCAGAGCCTAGGAAGACCCAGTAGGCACCAATGTCGTTGCTCAAACCAACCCAGGAGTTGGCTATACCAGTGCCCCCACCCCACCCCGCTGGTTCAAAGTGTTCTCAGCACCACAAGTGAACGCTCCAGTCTACTGTTCCCCATAGCAGGCAAGTGTGTGGTCAAGAACAAGATGTTCCTACCAAAAAGAGCAGAAACCACCCTGGTGTTCTAAAGTGATCTTGAACAACTTTATCTTGACCTCAGCTCCGCGCCAATAAAATAAGAAACACTCAAACTAATCAAGCTTATCTCCAAAAGTTATTTGACTCTCCGTGAGCTAGCAGCCGGTGTCAGAAGCCTAGAACAGCTCTGTTCCCAGCAGATGTTCCGTGTGCAATTCCACTTTCAGTTAGCGACGGTGAGCAGAGACTCTGCACTCGTTCACTAGGACATTAGAGGGGCTGTAGCCAGTGAGTCACCTCTCTCAGACCCTGAGACTAGAATGAGATCATCTCTGAGGGGTCCCAGAGAAGTGCAAATCAAAAGCCAGGCATGGTGGCCAAGGCCCTTAATCCAGAGGCAGAGGTAGGCAATCTCTGTAAGATGCTAGCCTGGTCTATAGGTAAGTGCCAGGCCTCCAGGGATGGTAAAAACCTGTCTCAAAAAAATAAAAATAAAAAAAGGAAGGAAGTTCAAGATCCAGAGTGGCGGTGCAAGCCTTTAATCGCAGCTTTTGGAAGGCAGAGGCAGGCAGATCTCTGTGTTTTCAAAGCCAGTCTGGTCTACACAGGACAGCCAGGACTCTATAGAGAGATCCTGTGCCACCCTCCCCTCCCCCCCCCAAAAAAAACTAAAAATCTAAATCAAGCACTTCTCAAAGACTCCAAAATTAAACCGGAGTTTCTTTTCATCTTTCCTAATTCCTCCTCAGCGCATATACTCTGCGCCTTTTCTCAAACTGCAGGGGATTGAACAGCTTTGCACCCCTAAACCAGATCAGAGTCTAAACTGGGAGGCTAAATCCCATGGCACACCTGGTTTAAGTTACAGGCCTGTTTTGATTCTGCCCCTATTGGTAACTTAGAGGAAATACATCCAAGTGTCCTGGGGTTAGGAACATAAAAAGCCAGGGCCCAGGCAAGTCATCATAAAGCCAGCCGGGCAGAGTCACCTGCAGCTGGTAGGAAGCAATAAGCCTCCCAAGGGGCTCAGGGTCCTGTTGTGAATAAACCACACTTCCAGACACCCGAGTCAATCCTCTTTCCACTCCCGGGAACAGATGACTCCGTGGCACGCCTCTTAGGGTCTCTGTTATACGTTCACAGTCCCACAACCCGAGAGAAAGTTCATAAAAAGAATTCAGGTGTCCAGGAGGGAAATTCACTCTCCCTACGATTAAGGGGCCTCCCTCCACTTTATGTTTTAGGAACTGCCAAGAGATTGTCGTATCTTGAACAAAAAAGACCAGAGGAATCAGCAGAATCAAAGACCCCACTCATCCCAAGAGATTAGAGAGAACGAACCAACAGAGAAAAATCTCAACCAAATCAGGTGTGAGGTTCATCTGCCAGGGCCCTGGACACATCAAGAGCAATCTGTCGTCCCGTCCAACGCACTCAGGACCACGGGCGGGGGGCGGGGGTGCGTCCTAGGACGTACTGAAGGCACTTCCCTAAAATCTGTTCCCACGAGACACTGAAATTTCAAGTGTGTAACTGAGCAACGGCTCACAGCTTTAACACAACCCACTGGACAGCACCCCACCCCACCCCCCAAAACTAGACCATTCCCTGCCTCAAATCTTGGACTAGGGCCCAGGACAGGAACCAATCTCCGTAATCCTGGGCATTTTAGAAACTCAATTCTCCCGGGAGTTAGAGCACTCCGAGCTTGGCTCTGGTCCACCCCCACCTCCCTACCCCGAGGCAGAGAGTGAGGCTCCAGGCAGGGCCCGAGGCTCTTTCTTATGTAAATGACCCGCCGCACTACCAAGAGCTCGGATTCGCCGGGGCTGCGGAGAGTGAGGTGGGCACAGGAGGATCTGAGCGCTGAAAGGTTCGCTTTCAGAGGCCAAAAATTACAAAAGAACTCAGGAAATCCTGGGGTGGGAAGGTGAGTCCACTTCGTGTAACTTTTAGTAGCAAACCAGAAAGTACTATCCAAAATCCGCCAACTCAGAGGCCGGACGCGGGGACTAAAGGCGGGGCGGTCCCCAGGAAGATCTGCTGTGAGGGGGCGCCCCTTTCGAGCTTCAGTTCCGGGCAGTTCAGTTCCGGGGAGGGGGCGCGCCGGGCCACTCTTTCTGCGCCCTTTCCCGCTCCTTCCTGGGTGGCTTCTTTTATTTTTTTTTTTCCAATCCACCTCCAAGGGGCGCCACGAGGAACCGATAGCCTCTCCAACGCGTCCTTAAGAGCCAGAGGGCCGGGCCCCGGCTGCTACACACTGCCACCGCGCCTCCTCCCCTACATTGGATTCTTCCCCACGTGCTCTTGCCGGAACTCGGGCTGCAGAAGGGGGCTCCTCCCACGTGGGCGCAGCAGACTCTGACTACGTGCAGGGCGACCCGCCCCTCAAGAAACCAGGGATCTAAGTGTGGGGAGAGCGCGCGCGGGTCGCGGGGAGGTGGACATCTCGGTGGTGCGCGCCCTGGCCCAGATGGTGCCTAGCAGCCGTGGTTTCTCGTGCCTAGGACTTTCCCAGCTACCCAGACTGGTTCCACGTCCCCAGCCCCGAAGGAGGAGGAAGCAGATCCCCTACGCGCTCCAGATTCCCGGAGAGCACGCAACTTGGTCCAAAGCGAGCCAGCCTCCCCCGCTCGTGGTGACTTACCTTCTGCACTTGGTTTTGATTGAGCTCGGTGAATAAGCAGGCTATCATATGCGAGGCGATCATCTTGCTGAGACCAGACGGGGCCCGAGTAGAGAAACCGAGACTCGAGCGCTAGCGGGGGAGCGCAACGCTTTGTACGCTGGCACTGGTGTTCGGTTGGGATTTAGGACTCCAGGAGTCACACAAAGAAGGTTCACCACGGTGGCTCACCAGCTGGGAGCCTCGAGTCTCCAGAAACAAGTTTCTTTTTTTCGTTTAGTCACAACTACGTAAAGTGCCTAAAGTCTCGCTCTTGGAGAAGGAATTGCTGCCCAGAGTCCAATCACTAACTTCAGTCACAGGGTCACTAAGGCTTAACTTGGGAGGAATGACAGTGCTGCTCCACTCCGACGATCGAGCTTCTCAGGGTCACTGGCGTGATGCTCCCGCCCTTGGATCCCCTTAGCTGAGTAACGCGGAGTAGCCTGTGGTGTCCTGGGACTCGAGCACTGGAGTTTGTTGCAACAATGTGGCTTATTGAGGGGCTGCCGGCTCTTTGGGCCGCCCCGACAGTGACGTGCACGCGTTCATTGGCTGTGGGAAGAGGGTGTGTGAGCTCTTCGGCTGCCCGCCCGCGATTCATAGCCAATCAGTGCCCAGAGCCCGCGGGTGCGGCCGCTCAGACACCGGAGCAGGCGTCCAGAGAGGCGCGCCGGAGGCTAGGGGCGGAGCCCTGCGCCGGGGATGGGACGTGTGTTCCGTGGCAAGGGCCTGGGACTCCAGGGCGCATGAGCCACCGCCGCGTCAGGCATGGCTTCGGGTGGGGGGCGCGTGATCGCGGACCCAAGAGATGTTGGGCGACTGGAAAGACAAGTGATTAACACCAACACACGCCCTGGGCGGACAGGGACACAGTCTGGTATCTGCGGATCATGTGAGGGGCTGCCACTGCTCTGTCACAAGTATGAAGCATCTTAATTTTCATCTTGATTTTGGCTCACTCAGCGGATCCCTGCATGCCTGAAGCGAAGTAAGCCAGTCCTTACAAAAGTCAGCCCCTCTTAACCGTCATACCAATAGCGTAAGGGTTTTACTAACCCCGTTTTACAGATTAGGGAGCCGGGCGCTGTTCTGTTAATGAGATTTGCCCAAGGTCACATCTGTAACAAGTGGTAGTTGAAGGCAGGAACCCGTACCACTCTGAAACGGAATTCTCTTCCCCATTGTATTGTCCAGCCTTTCTGGAAACCAGGAAAGCAAACAGCTGGGGAGAAACCTTGTCAGTAGCTGGGACAGATAAGTGGGAGGGGAAAGTGAGTAGATGGTGAATATGTAGCTGCTTGATCCTAGACTCCGGTAGTGTGGAATGTTTTATAAATGCCAAGAAGAACCCAAGCCTCCGCCTCTGCTCATGCCTAAACCCAGACTCCAAGTTTGCATATGAGTAGAAGCCAGCAATATTGAAATAGCACCTCAGGTGACCTGAGGCTGGTGCTGGTGGAGAATGGCAAGTCTGGAGTTTATAGAGCGCATGGAGGAATGGGAAACGCGAGTTCCAGCTAGCCTCACTTCCCAAGCTCTCTCTCCACCTCCAGTGGCTTGTGCTCAACCTAAGACTTCGTGCATGCTAGAAGAGCACTCTGCCGACTGAGGTACACCCCAGCCCGTTTTTCTCTGCTGAGCTGCCTTCCTCCACAACCTCTGATGTGGTTCATTTATTTCCTCTATGAATGTTTGGTCCCAGCACTGCCAGTAGCAGTTACACCATCTACACACAGGTAATTCACAAACCTAAATCTACAAGCAAGGACTTTCCCCAGGGCTTCTGGCTCTCTTAGCCAACTGTCATTTGTCACCCCTGCCCTGGTGACTAGTATCTCACATTTAACATGTACAAGGCTGCACTTAACTCTTCTTCCCATTTTTTCCCCTTTGTCTCCAAAAATGGCATCCATCCATGATTCTTTCCTGCTGTTCTCTCTCACATCATCAGTGAGCGAATGGTCTAACGTAGCAAAGAGGCCAGACCCTCGTGGACAAGCTACCAAGCTCCACCAGGGCCCGTTTTATAGTGCTTAACTTCCATGTTTGACTGCCTCTAGTTTGACCACTGTGATCGCTCCTTCACTCCAGAGCTAAAGAGGCTTGTTTCAAATACAAACCATTGCTGGGTTTGGTGGCATACACCTGGAGTCCCAGCCCCAGGGAGGAGGGAGGGGGAGGCAGAAGAGTCAGGAATTTAAGACCAACTTGGAGTACTTGAGACCCTGGGCAGACAGACGGGCAGACAGAAGGATAGATAGATAGATAGATAGATAGATAGATAGATAGATAGATAGATGATTATATATATATAATTATATATATATATATCAGTTGATTTTTTTTTCTGTCTTAAAACCATTGGTTTCCAGTCTTCAAATAAAATTCAAAATCCTAATGACTACTAGAAGAGAGCTGAGTTCCAGGACAGTCAAAGATACACAGAAAAATCCTGTCTGAAAACAAACAAACAAAATGCAATTTTTCCTATCTCAGCTCTCACACCCAAGTAGTGAGCTATCAGATATGTGCCACCACACCCAACGTATTCTCTAGGTGTATATCCATCCTATCTTCCCTAGTTCAAACATCAAGAGTCCAGGTCTATATTGTTCCCTTATATTTTCAGGGCCTAGAATGGAGGTGCTCTAACACAAGTTAAGTATGCCATGGTATTTGTTGTGTAAATTAGCAGATGATTTATAGTGATGGCTGTTATGTCATATATGACTATAAGACACAAAAGAGGGGGCTGGAGAGATGGCTCAGTGGTTAAGAGCATTGCCTGCTCTTCCAAAGGTCCTGAGTTCAATTCCCAGCAACCACATGGTGGCTCACAACCATCTGTAATGAGGTCTGGTGCCCTCTTCTGGCCTTCAGGCATACACGCAGGAAGAATATTGTATACATAATAAATAAATAAATAAATGAATAAATAAATAAATAAATGACACAAAAGAGGGACTTAGTTCTCCAATCCTTCCCACTGACCTACCCATCACAATTCATCAGTATCTTTCACCCAACTGCAATGGCCTCATAACCCAGCTTCCCTCTTCAGACACAGATAAACTGGAGGTGTCTGACATGGACTTGGATTCCCAAGAGAGAGAAACTTAAAGCAGAAGCAGTAGTCCATCAGGTTTGTCTTTGCAGGACAATAGCTGCCATCCGCGTGAATGGGAGGAAGGAATCAGAGAGAGCTGAAGCAAGAAGAGACAGGAACTCTCAGATAAGATAAAAGTGGGGCCCAGACACGGGGCGAGGCAGGGAGTCTGATTACAGCTGGCTTTAGGTGTTCAGAAGTCTGAAGCAGAATTAACGGCATAGGTTAAAGATAGACAGCAAAGAGAAAGAAGAAAAAACCTGCTTCCTAGAAACACTCAGAGGCTGGTAAGATGGCTCCATGGATAAATGTGTTTGTTGTCAAACCTTGACAACCTGAGTTTAATCCCTAGGACCCATGTAATAAAAGGAGAGAATGAACTCCCCACCACCACCACCCAGTGCTGAGGTTATAGACCACTACACCTAGCTTATTCAGCTCTGGAGATCAGAGTCACACCCAAGGATTCACGTGTACTAGGCAAGGATTGCATCAACTGACTTGTACATCACACCCATGCTCACACAGACACATGCTTCAGTGCTCTCTCCATCCTCTCTTCTGTGAGGACAAAGTCATGGTCACAGGGCGCTTATGTGCTCCCTGGCAGAGTTCCCAGTAACTGGGAGATTGGCTGGAATAAGTGCTGTGGTAGTCCCTAACGCACATGGATGTGATACATCAGAGGACAGACACCCACACGAGATCAGGGGCTGCAGCTGTGTTCCGACCTCAGCGTTCTCCCTCTCCCTATGCACACACGGGCACAGATGCTGAAGACTGGTAGAACAGCCATACAGTTTACACTCTACACTCCAAGAGAGAAATCAGGCGGCACATGTTGACTAAGGAGGCTCGCAGAGAAACACTGAAGCAAACAGGTGGTTCTTGCCCTTAAAGCATTACTGTTTCGTTAAAGACATAAAATGAGCCCATGGAACAAATATTATAGATTAGGGAAATGGATCGTAGAAGCCAAATGTGTCTGTGTCTTTAGATGTGGTAGAGCCTGTGAGTCCAGTGAGTGTGAATCCCAGTTTTCTGATTTCATACCTGGTTGGTTCAGGTCTGGGATCTGGCCTTGTCTCTGCATGGGATTGACCTGAGTCTACATAGGCTTCAGAAAACTCTCTGGGAACAATTCTATTTCGCTAAAAGACCTCAATCTGCAAAATGTCCCTATGTAAAAATTAAGATTTAAATCGGGCCGGGGTGGCACACACCTTTAATCCCAGCACTCGGAAGGTAAAGGCAGATGGATCTCTGAGTTTGAAGCCAGTCTGGTCCACAAGGGCTAGTTCCAGGACAGGCTCCAAAAGCTACAGAGAAACCCTGTCTCAAACAAACAAAACAAAACAAAAAAAGATTTAGGGTGGCAGTAGCACAGGCCTTCAATCCCAGCTCTTGGAAGTGGATCTCTGTGGGTTTGAGGCCAGCCTGGTCTACAGAGAGAGTGCTAGGACAGCCAGGGCTACACAGAGAAACTCTGTCTCAAATAAATAAATAAACTCACGGAGATCCACCTGCCTGTACCTCCCTAAGTGCTGGGATTAAAGATGTGGGCCACCACAGCTTCTCTCTCCTCTCTCTCTCTCTCTCTCTCTCTCTCTCTCTCTCTCTCTGTCTCACATCACAGGCAGGCCTTATCCTCTGTAAGTAGCGGAGGATGACTTTGAACTCAGTTCCCTGTCTCCACCTCTCCAAGTGCTGTATATAGGTGTATATAACACTACATCCACTATTTTAACCACTTCAGATGCATCTTTCCAGGTCCTCAAATTCATACATTATAATTAAACTATGCAATATAACAGTTTCCAGATCATTAAGGCTTAATATTAACGACAAAAGGATATCGCTGGGCATAGTGGACAAGCTTTAATCCTAGCACTAAGGAGGCTGATTCAGGAGGATTTCTGTGAGTTCAAGGCCAGTCTGGGCGCACAGTGAATTCTAGGCCAGTCTGGGTTGCTGAATGAGCACTAGTTTTGAAACAGCCTCCCCTTTCTTGTTTTTCTCCAAAGATCACAAGCTAGAAGGAACTGTGGATAGCTGGAAAAGCAGGCCAGATAATCAGGAGTCACAATGTAGAGATCCCAAAACATAAGGCAGATATCCAAAAGGCTGTAAGTCCCCAAACTGACAAACGCCCACCCCACCTGAGTCCCTGACTATGCCACACTCTGGAGTTTGAAATGCCCTTAGACAAATTGGCTTTCTAAAATCCAAAATACATCAAAGGAACTGACAAATAGGACATCTGTGCTCAATGAGAGTTAAATTAGGGAGACCATAGTGAGCAGGCAACTTGTCATCAGGGAACCTGACTATACATGAGGTGACTTTAAGCTGCATGACTTGCCCTTTCCACACAGGTGTCACACAGCATCT